AAAGTGATTTAGTAAAACTGAAGTGAAGCAGTCTGCTTTGAACACACTTGATTATTGGAAAGATCGAGCACTTTCAAAAGCTTTGTAACGCTCACAAGTACTGCAGCATAGTCAAGGAACCGCAAGCGATTGCCCTAAATTGCATTATGTTACATATTTACTCTTACTGCTTGAGAATGATTTGAGAACAAAACCTTCAACTACGAATAAAACTAACTTGGAGGCTAAGTGCTGTGATTGAACCGTAACGCTCATCTATCCTATCCACAACTGTCAACATAACATTGTTCTTGTTGAGCATCATATGAAGATCACGGTCTTTGAACTCTGAACACGACTTTTAAAGCAACCCCAAAGATAAAACATCATCGGATTCTTACTTTGGTCCAAGGCAAATTCGCTAAGATCGAGCGAACGAGTATCATGATTATATCGACTGTCAACAACTTCCTAAAAGTAATGGGAAGCTAATACAAAGATAAGAAGTCTGTCGAAAAAAGGCATCTACGCAAGGAAACTGCTAACAAACCTGGATCACTGCAGTTTCTTCCCTGCTCAACTTCGTCCATGGCGCGACGACTTTGTCAACCAACAAGGACATCCTATCACCAGTGATTTTGTGCACAATACGACGTGAAATCGCTTTGCATGCATCAGCAGTATCTTCGCTCTGAAGTGGTTCATATTAATATATGATAAAAAAAAGGCAGCATTTAGTTTAAATAAGTGTATTGTAATACTCTGTAGTTCCCTGTTTCAGATCCAAATTCATTCATTTGTCATTTCCCGCAACAAAAAAGTTGTAAACCATAACTTGCAACCCCAATCACTTATAGTACATATAACAGTTCAAAGTTGTTCCCGAAAGTGCAGGTAACTGAACACACCTTTAAGAAAAACTCTACGTCGCCACGTTGATTCACTGTTACTAGCAGCGGCTTAATGTCTTCAATCTGTTGATGTAGTTGCTTCATTATCCATGGTACAGTAAATTTGCGACCGTACGGAATCTTAAAAAAAA